CTACCTAGATTACCTCTTTGCCTCGTGGCAGCCTCAGCCAAGATTATGGGGAACCAGACGACACTTTCCAGCTGCGAGCTGTATATAGATAGAGTCAAAGACCAAGTATGGATTCTTCAGTCGCAGTAGTTTTGACACAACACTGAGTAGTGTGCATACAATATAGGACATGAATGAAAGTACACCAGCTTCTATGCCGTAGCAAAGACCGACTCTTGAGAGTATTTGGGTGCAGGATTTGGGTAAATAGCCAAGACCCTTTGTACTAGTGAGGAGGACCTTATTGCTGGGCAAGAGTGGTATCACTCAGTGACAATCTACATGTGTAATATCCTGACGCTTTAGAGAGCCTCGATCTAGTAGATCTAGTGAAGTGGCTGATATCTTTCGAGCACTTTAAGTTGAATGTTGCATTGGGATATGAATGCATGATTGAAGTTGGATCTTTAAGTCGTCTTCTGCATGAGTTGGACCAAGAAGGAGATCCTTTCTCTCCGGACGGTTGAGTCAAGAGTTACCAAAGAAGTTTGAAGGAGATTATTACACTTGGTTCCATTAATTCGGTCCCTCGTTCCCTTGGAAACAAATATAACATGGTACAAAGTAATTCTTTGTGTTAATGATTGTACATTCCACATGTAGAGGGAGTCACGGCCAAAGCACGCGCGATTTGCTAGATGCAAACCCAAAGAGGCGAGTTTAGATTAGATTCCGTCTTGGCTTGGTTATCCATCTACATCTTCATTACTCACATGTGAGTGTGATATCACTTTAGATGCAACAAGTGTTCATATGACTCGTTGCCCATTTCGAGAGCAAAGTATAGCTACCCATGACACGATTAGGTATATGGTGTTTGCTATGGTGCGAGAGGATGGATACCTCACATGGAGGGAGCATTGGTATTTCTTGCAGTCGACTAGGGTTGGCTCGGGAGGACTAGGTCACTGTGGCGGATGTGGTGGTTACAAATCCTACTTGTGATACTGTTTCAGAGTGGATGATCACCTATCCTCTAGGATGGACGGCGAGTGGAGCCTCAGTAGCCAAAGTCTCCAAGTGTAGGGATATGCAGAGAGATCACCTCTTTGTTCCTCTAGCTTTGGAGTTATATGGAGCTATGGACACCGATTTTGACATGTTCCTGAGGGAATGCACGAGAGCCTACCATACTAGGCGGCAGAGGGTATCACTCTCTTTAACTTGATATATAGCCTATTTTAGGTAACATGTTTCCATTGCTCTACAGAAATTACTAGCTCGTGTAATCCATAGGAGAACAATCACATTAGATGATACTTCTTCGGATGCTCTATTGTTTGTAGACTGTTTGACCTAGATAGTTAGGATATCTTAGGTGCTTTAGGATATATTTACCAGTGTGATGCTACTGGGGCTAGCCCCATGTTAACTTTTTGGTTCCATCCTTGTAAGATTTGATGGGGTCTTCCTAACCCTTTTGTTATTTTACGGTGTCTCTATTTTCATCCTTGGCCGGATTATGCAGCCTACTGGAACCTAGGCGACACTTCGGAGGCAAGGAAGGAGAATAGCAGAGATGAGCGGGAGCATGCAAGTTTTGCCGCCGGAGTTGGTTCTAGAGGCATAGAAGATCGAGGAGATCATTGAATTACAATAAGCTCGGAGGCATTAGAGAGGGCGACCCGTGTAATTTAGTGTTTGTTCAGATCTAGGTAGGAGTTGTATATAAGATCTTCATTGATATTTTTGGAGCACTTTGTGTTGAGTGGTGGGTCAGGATGCAAATAAAATTTTGAAGTAATTACTAGACAAAAGTTCGAAAGAAATACCAGCAAGGAACGCTAAATGCAACGCGTCCCAGATTAATTATTTTTTTGGTCTGGGGACATGGGCGAGAAGAGGGAACGGCGCGTTGGAGTTGGAGTATCCGCTCACCTGCTTGAAATCTTCTCGCCTTCACTTCATTCACCTTCTGTTTTTTGACTAAAAGTACTCATTCTCTTGAAAGAGTGAAATGGTGCAATATAATGAAATGGTGTATCATCTTATCCATCTGATAAGCGAAATGATGTAGTGCTTGTCACACGCATATGATGTCTGGCAATGGCATCCATCAATTGGACTGTAAAGTGCTCATATGTGTGCAGACATTTGTTGAACAATCTTGTCGAAATGTTCTCTGGTCACGATGAGTTCCATGATTCTAGTATTCCAGTCTTCCACTTGGCTTATCTGGGTGCCCCTGTAAGACTGTTCTTCACGCGATCCACCTTACGATTCAATCTTTGGACTGTTGCACCTCCGGCTTTTAGATTTCCACCTCTGCACGAATTTGCAGATGTCGGCTTCTGTCTTAAAGGCGTAGAATCTTTTGGTTGTTGTTCCGTAATAGCAGTGCTTACATGTGATCACATCTGCAGATCGAGAAGGCTGTACTCTCTACACGGACTGTAACAGCCATCAATTGCCATGGCTACGCAGGTAGAAATGGATTCCATCCTTCAATCATGAACAACTGGCCCATGTGTTGGAGCTGCATCATAGACACAGGATGCTCATCCAGTTCAGTTCAGTTCAATTCAAACTGTTCAGTTCATCGCATTCAGCTCCGAGTTCAACTTCGGCAGGCTATCGATAGATTCCAAGCGTTTCCTTACCTTCCAGGCAGCCTGCCTCTGGCTTCTACACTGATCAAGGTCAAGCGGCTGGCAACTTTCAACAGAGCTAGATAAACGCTTTCTCCCGCGAAACGCTTAGTAAATTTTTCAGGACCTTGACTTGTTACACGAGCTTCAATTTCATATCTTTCAATATGAATTGAAGTCCCCTTCATTTCCCTCGAAATCGAATACGGCATTCCTTCTGCTTCGGTGCGTCCTTGTTTGACCTGGCTTCATACATTTGGCACACAGGCTCGCTTACGAGCCGACTCTTGGGACGATTCTAGACGATTCACGATCAGATTGATCACTGAATTTGATGGCCCAAATTTTATCAAACACTGAACAAGCTCAATGATCAAAAAGCTCCATTCTGCCTGGGGCTGACATGGAGCCCAGAGACACAAAGGTTCTACGCTAGTTGGGGTTATGTTTGAGCCAATTCCAGGAAATGAACTTGATCCTTTTGCATGTGCGACTGAAACTGGGAGAGCAGCACTCGGCTCTGTAAAATAAATGTCTGAAACTCAGCAGAAGTTCCAGAAAATGTCTCAGGTATTCGATTACCCATGTACTATCCACTCTGCCTCCACGTCCTGTCATTGCTCGGCCAGCGTTTGGCATTGTCACAGCCTGGATACAGCGCGACATTGGTTCCGAAAAATTATCCACTTCCTACTTTGGGTATTTGGTGGAGGGCCGCGCGAACGCGAGCCCTCCGCTGCCACAAATTATGACGTGCATTTTCCCCTTAGGGAAATGCTACAACTTGCCCGACCGGAGTGCAATGGAGGAGCTCATCGTAGGTCATCGCCCTTCGAGATCAGCGATAGGCCCCGCCCAGGTAAGTATGCTTTCCATAGTTCGAATATAGAACATGTACTTCCCGCAGCGCTGCTAGCCGCACTATGCTTATGGGTCTATCTATAGATTCTAAAGGTTCATTTGGCAGGTACGTATGAAGTCGACGTCAGGTACCCAGACGTAGGGAACATCAAATGGTACAAGGCAGAAAAGGCCAAAAGAGGTAAGAAAAGTCAAGCTCCAGGCAAGGAACGGAAGGAACGAAGTGCACTAACAATTTTCATGAGTCTTCCCATCCTTTTTACTTTTACTTTGTACATTTAATTTTCCCTGGATGTTGTTGCTGCGACGTGGTGGAGGAATTACTAACTTTCGTCTCGATAGACAGTGGCAGTCAATTTACGGATGGACTTCAAGCTACACGTACCCGAAATTAAGAATCGGGTCGACACAGCTCACCGGGCAAATGGATCAATGGATCGATCATGACCTTCACTACCCAAAAAAAATAAAAAATTTGGCGATGTCAGAAGGGCTTGTGTACGCACAATCGATCATAGGCCGTTTCATGATAGGCAGGTAGAATATTATTTTGAGACATACAAATTTTATGGTTCATATTATATCGAGTTATGGTCATACTCGTAACGCAAAATATTGATATATTATGGCTCTACTATTTTGCGCTACATAGGAGTACTTGTTATGGCTGTATTTGTTGGTATAATACACCTGTTTCGAGTGCAAACTCAAGGTATGGGTAACCAGCGCCAGATTTAATGATCCGAAGAAGCATCACCTAACGTGATTGCTCTCCTATGGATTGCACCAGCTAGTACTCTATGGAATGGAAACATGTTGCCTAAATAGGCTATACATTAAGCTAAAGAGATTGATACCCATGTCGCATAGTATGGTAGGCTCTCGCACACTCTCTCACGAACATGTCGAAATCGGTGTCCATAGTTCCATATAACTCCAAAGCTAGAGGAACAAAGAGGTGACCTCTGTGCATACCTCTATACTTGGAGACCTTGGCTGCTGCCGCTTCACTCGCCGTCCATCTTGGAGGATGGGTGATCACCCTCTCTGAAACTGTTTTTCTAGTAGGATCTGTAACCACCACATCATCCAAAGTGACATGAGCAATAAAAATTGATTGTATCTATTCGTCCTAGTATCATTTAGTGAGGCAAGTAGATTTTGAATATTTCATTAGCATCACTAGGTGAAATCATGGTGGTGTATCGAATTATATTCTTACCTACGTTGTGGAGACTTTGAAAAGACGAGAGACCACGCGAGAGAAGAGTCTGAAGTACATATCCTTTTCACATTTTCTGCTTTTGTATTTTTCTTTACATTTTATCATACAATCGCAATTCTCCTGTTGTTATTGTTCGTACGTGGCCAAAGTTACAAAATCAAAGCCAGGTAAAGGATTTTTGAGATTGTAATTTTGGCCACCTCGCCAGCTTTTGCTGTGGCTGGGTAAGAGGAATGTCCACAGCGGTCCATATAAGTCTCAGAAGAGAATTCCAGAAAAACATCGAAGAGGATTCAGCGAGGTTCGAACTCGCGATCTTCTGCGTGTAGAGCAGACGTGATAACCACTACACCATAAAACCAGCTGCTCATTGAGTGCACTAGTATATATTTATTCGTTAAATAACTCATTCTGTTTTATATTTTTTAACGTAATAACTGTATTCCCACCTGGGTTGCTCTGTTTTCTTTTACATTTTCGATTTCCTGTCGAATATTTATATCTGAAGTTGATCCTCCATCAAAAATCATTCAAAACCTACTGACAATTCACGGCAATATGTATGCCCTTCTTTATCTTCTGTAAAATACCAGGGTTCTCTAGAAGAACAAGATAGCTAGAAACTACTGGTAGGTGCTGTAGGTACATATTTCACATTTTCATACCATTGGGGCCTAGCCCCATCTTACTCCTTTGGTTTCATCCATGTGATGGTATCTTCCCATCCTTTTTGCTATATATTTCTTACTACTCTCTTGTTACAAATTGCAAATTGGTACATACATAGTTATTTTCATTTTTTTAATCAGAAATAGTTATCTCCTCTTGTTTAAATTTTTTTCTGATATTCTAGAATATAGTCACCAAATACAAACATAAACACTTCAATTTTGCAAGCAAACTTGCATGGGGAAGCTTTCAAAACATGAAAATATAAGTGATCATTGTAAGCAATTATGCAAATAGTGATGACTAGAATGGCCAAATTGATAATCATGAATAATAATAATGTCTCATTTTCAGACACCTTAGCTCCTGATTGTTTATCCAGCAATCAGTTATGCATGTGGAGAAATAAAGCGGCATCAAAATTAGCATCCTCGGAAGAAAATGAAAAATATCAAAAGATAGTGTATATGTGTAACACTAAGGAGAATGGAATCCAAAATGACTTAAAATACATGACATGTCTCATCAAGGAATCCCATTTTCTCTGTATACTATGAGATTATAGAGAATAACAAATCCACTTTATGTGATATGGCTATCATGAGTAATAAAAATGTTTATCCATTTTATAGTTATCATTTTTCAAAAGACATCTAACTTGTTTATCTACTTCAAAAATGGTTATATTTTATCTATCATTTTAGAATATCTACATCAATGCATCATAATCACTTCATACTTTATTCATGTATCAAAATTTATCATTTGTATTTTGTATCATTTTCATTATTATTTTGTTTTCTAGTGATTTAGTGATAAAAAATTCTACAAAACTAAATATTGTTATTAAGATTGGTTACAATATTATATGTTAATATTTTTGCGAAGATTGATTTTGATTTCTGCAATCACATCAACATTACAACCAATACAACACGGAATACAAACACAAGAAAGTGTAGATCTTCAACTGATGCATCCACTTATGATAATGAAAATATATCCAATTGTAGATTTTTAGTTGTTTGATTTCCACATAGGCAAAAAGTGATATGACATAGACAAAAATACAATCCATGTCAAGTGGAACCCTTAACATAAACTAAATATCCATTTCACTATTTCCTAATGCACCTTGCCTCGATTTGACATGTATATGCTCACCTTCCCTACATGAAATGCTAAATCCGATAGGATACACATCATCAAGTATGTCATGCACATACATATTGCATGACAACATACATTGTTGTCACATCAAACATCAAAGATCGTTATACATCAATACAAGTGTACCACAATAATCTTTTTTACTCTCAAAACGTCCACAAGGACACTTCGCTCATAACCATAGCATAAAAGAGAGATTATAGTCGAGCCAAATCCACTTTGTGCTTTAAAGACTCCATATTCCTGCACTAAATACTCTCCATCATAGCCACACTCTTAAAGGCTCAATTTAAAAACTGCACCTCTAAGAGCTCTAATTTGAACTCTACCCCTTGAGCCCTAGGTCTCCTTATGGCGCTATGGGCCCTAACGGTAGTTTCAATGCGAATGGCGCTTAATGCACAATCAGCTCTAATTGCACAACCTGCTCCAACATGCTCACATCTATCTAACTAGGGATGCTGCTACATGAGTCGTGACAACTGTCGTACACATACATATCACATCACTATATACATCGATGTCATATCAAACATCACACTATATAGATCGTCATACATCAACACAAGTGTACCATTATCGTCCCCTAACTGGCGGTTAGATCTCTCTAACACAATGTAGTCATCTAATCCATAACATGATGTGCCCTTCGTGGGACTAAGATAAGGAGATTTGATGCTACAATGCCCCATCATTAGTCGTATATTTATAATCCATACCATGTTATGGTCAAACCAGCTTGCTTGCTAATCACATCGAGTACATCTCTACCGCCCATTGGGCACCGCATTGAGAAGAATTATCAAACATGATATATGTGTAATACTAGGGAAGTGAGGAGAAACCATTCGAATAGCTCAAGAAATTCTGAAGTTGAGAGATACCTCAATGGTTTCTCTTCCTCCATATATAATCTTCAAAAATATACAATCTAGATAGGGTTACACAACCACAATCCATTCAATTTCTCGTGGATCGATGACGTGACGTGCATCAGTATGAGCACACAGATTGCTGACGTGTATTCCAACTAACACACTAAGTAACACACAAGAAACACAACCTAAAGAGTACACTGATTGCTGACGTAACATCTTTATGGGGCTACCTAAAGCGGTGCGTGATACACCATGTTCGGTGTGTTATTGTCTCTTTACCTCACAAGGGGTAAATACCCACATGGGAAAGATGCACAAAGATTATGATTGGATTACTTGGGAAACGCACGTGAGGAGGACAGTCACATCGACATCGGTATTTGTCACTTTGAAAAATACGCAAACTACATTGACTCCTTCGTTGAGCATTCCGAGTATACCGATCGGATCATAGGAGTGGTTAGCTTCCCATGCAAGTTCAATTCTAGGGCTTTTTGAGACTAGGTTTCCATGTCCACGTTTATTCCATAGGCTTTCTCGTGCACTCCATGACGAGACTAGACATACTTTTTGCTTACCGCTCGATTGGTTGGCAAGTGATCCCATGGACGAGTTAGCGTGGTTTTTGTTTCTATTACTTCAGCGATGGTGTCTACGTTATACTAGAGGAGGGCGTGTTGGACATAGGGAGGTGGCAGCTAGATTTTGGAGATTCTGAGTTTGTCAGGGATGGTTTATGAGTATCTTCGAGATTGCTTTCAGGCGGAAGATCCGTCTAGTGGTTTCACGGATTTGTTCTTGGTGGCTGCATGTAACACTGAAGGCAATGACTTCGGAATGACTTCCAAGATGAGGTGTCTTCTCAAGACCTCTCCTTGCTTTATATAATGTAGGAATAAAAAAGTCTAAAATCCAAACTATACCACATGGCTAACATACGTAGGTTGCATGTTTCATTATCTTATCCTAACCAATTCCTAAAAGACGTCTAGCACACAATCCAATCTATCAATGTATGGTAGCCATTTCGTCATTTACCTTTTGCTTTTTGGATAGTGCACACCACTATCTTATCTTTTTGTGATCTAGTGAGCAATCTACGCTTTGGCTAAACTAACTATAGCTAACCAAGATTGGTTACAAATCTCCTCCCATTTAAGACGCAACATCCTCGTTGCAAGAAGACTCAAAAGTCTCTACAAGTATCTTGGCATTTGTAAGATTTGCCAATGGTTCCCAAGTAGCTTCATAAAGTGGATAATCTTTCCATTGGACTAGATATTCCACTTTTGGATTCCGCTAACCTCTTGTCCGTTTCTTGAGAATTCTCGCAACTTCATATTCCTCTACACCATCAATCATGGCTGGTAAAGGAGGAAATTGATGTGGGTTGCCAAAGGAAGGAGATCGTGGAGTATACTTCCTCAAGAGAGACACATGAAAGATGGGATGTATTTTCATGTATGTTGGCAACTCTAACTTGTAGACAGTTTCTCCAATCCGTTGGACAATCAAGAAGGGTACAATAAATCGTGGACTTAACTTTTGAACCCCTGTTAATGACAAATTGGTAGTAGACAATCACACCTAATCTCCTTTTTGAAACTCCACATGTTGTCGATGAGCATCGACATACTGTTTTTGCCGATTTTGGGCAATGGCTTTGCCTGATGCACTCCTCGTTGAACTCGTGCCACAAACTCATTCATCACTTCAACTTGGGTTGATGGTTCCTGCATGTGACCTACATTCACCAAGCTAAATGGTGTGATGGGGTGTTCTCCATACATCAGGAAGAAAGGGCTGATTTTTGTGGATGCATTGATTGAGTTATTATAAGCAAACTCAATCAAGGGTAAAATGTAACACTAGGGAAGTGAGGAGAGACCACTCGAATAGCTCAAGGAATTCTAAAGTTGAGAGATACCTCAATGGTCTCTCTTTCTCCATATATAGTTCTCAAAAAGGTACAAACAAGATAAGGTTACACAACCACCATCCACTCAATTCCTCGTGGATCGATGACGTGGCGGACACCCCTAAAGAGCACACGGACTGCTGACGTGTACTCCAACTAACACACCAACTAACACACAAGAAACACAACCTAAAGAGCACACGGATTGATGACGTGGTACCTTTAGATACTCCACTAATAGTCAACTCAAGACCATGTATCTCCTCCTTGCGTAACCTCTACTTTAGTTCTCACTAACTAAAGATGGTTACAAATCTCCCTCCTTTTAAGATGCAACGTCCTCGTTGCACACACGTTCAAACTCTTGAACAATCAAAGGTGCATTGGCTAAGTTCTTTGCCGGTTCCCAAGTTGATTCATATGATGGATATCCCTTCCATTGAACCAAATACTCCGTTTTTGGGTATCTATGACCCCGAATCCGTTTTTTGAGAATCTTGTCAACCTCAAATTCTGCCTGATTTGCTACCATAGTAGGTAAAGGAGGAGGGGTTGATGGATTTGTGAACTGCTTGGGACGTGGTACATGTTTTCGCAATCGTGACACATGAAATACGGGATGTATTTTCATATGCAACGGGAGCTCTAACTTGTAAGACACCTCGCCAACACGTTTCAACACCACAAAAGGACCGATGAATCGAGGGTTAAATTTTGGTGTTCCTAC